AAACCTGGATGCCCTTGAGGTGGAGGTGTACCACTATGACTGCCATGACTTTTGTAAAGACCTGAGGGACCGTGGACAGTCCAAACGGGAGGGCTTTGTATTGGAAATGTCTGTTGCCTACCGCAAAATGGAGGAAGATGCTGTGAGTAGGATGAATGGAGACGTGAAAGTAAGTGACATTAAGGTCCAAAGTCACCATCCATGTCCTTGGGCTTAGGAGTGGAAGGATGGTCTGTAGCATTGGCATCCAAACATTTTTTGTAGAGGATGAGGCAGTTTAGGTTCCTGAGGACCATGATGGGATGGAGGCCTCCGTCCTTTTTCGGTACCGTGAAGTAACGAGAGTAGAAGCCTGTGTGATGTTGAGATAATGGCACTGGCTCTATAGCATCTTTTTAGAGAAGAGATTGAACCTCCCGTAAGAGGACGACAGAAGGAGGTGTGACGACGACGTGAACAGTTGTAGGGATGTGGGAAAACTCTATAAGGTATCCTGACTCGATTAGGGAAAGTACCCAGCAGTCCAACGTGATGAGCCTCCATGCCGAAAGGTAGAGGGCTAAACAAGTAGGGAACGACAGAATGGAATTGGAGTCAAAGACTCTGTTCAGGAGTCTTGGGAGCTTTAGATCTAGATTGGGAGGCAGACGAGAACTTAGGCTTTCCCAAATAAGGGCGAGATGAACTTGTTAGCCAAATTGCCTTTAGTTCTTAATTAATATTGGGGAAATTATGTTTATTAATTGGCAATAGGCAAATTAGTGAGCAAACACTGTTGTATACCGAAGTCCTGCCTTTACTGTAGTCACCAGAACAGACACGGAGACTGTAATTGGTATAATGTCTTTTTACTCAAGGAGATGTATCATTCAAACAATACACAAACTCGCACACACATATACAGATTCTAGGAAATAAAGATAGATTATAAGCACGTTTCCATGAGCAGGATATTTGTTGGTTGTGCAATAGTTACCTGTCCTCGTTGACTGAGCCGTTCTAATGGAAGAATGGAGGGGTTAAGAATAGAAAAGGGGGAACACGTGCTCTGAACCGGCAGAACCACATGGACTCTAGCTGCAGATCTAGAGTTTAAAGATGGAGGTAGGGTAGTTGGATAGTAAGCAGGACATAAGAGGGTTAAAGCTTTGATAAGAGTCTTGGAGAGGTCGAGAAAGAGAGACCATGTGGTCAGGTAGCATCTTTTATAATGTGGGGGGGGCAGGCTAGGCTGGCCACATCCCCCTGTGACACCTCCTGTTAGTCCATCCCATAAAACATACTATTGGTTGAAAGGAAATGGGGAGGAGAGCCAGGGGTTGGTCAATATTGAGAGCTAATAACTTAATCTGGGGACTGGCACCTGGATGAAGAGTGATTGAATCATCGGGCTAGGGCAATTGTCTCTTGATGGCCCTAGCCGGGTCATTGATGGGTGAATGATTAGTTGCCAAGCAACTGCAGGGATATCCTCTTGAGTATGTGCAGAGTTGTAGGTAGCTGGGGGGGGAGGGGTTGCCTACATGTGCTGGAAGAAACTCCTAATGGCATTTGGAGCTTTCTGTCCTCATGCTTGGGCATGGCATGGCGTTATGCAGACAAAGGGACTGGTCCATCTCACATCAGGTAAGAGGGCAGGTAACCTTGAAGAGCCACTGGAACATCAACGCAAAGGAAGATTTTTCTTCTCTCAGGTGTGCAGTCTCAGCTGGCATCACATTGGGTCACCTTGCAATACAGTCCTTGATCATATCTTTGCATAGTCCATTTACATTACTTTATGAGATACAGTTAATAAGCGCACATTAAGTGTCGTGCTGGGCAACAAACTGCTCGATGATCTTTGCCAGTGAGACTCAGAAGGAGATTTTGACGAGGGTCTACGTGACCTCTGTTTGGTCCAAAGTTTGCCTTTGCTAGGTTTGGTAGCAGGTGAGACACCCAGACTTCAGGATGTCTTGATGCTCTTGTCCAGCTCTTGAAGCACAGCGTCTGTGGTGAAGCTGAAGAGGCCATCACCTTCAAAGGGAAGATCTTCAACAATGGTTTTGGTATCTGGCTGCAAGGCCGAAGAGCGTAGCCATGCATGCTGACATAAAGCGACCGACGACGTGAGGGTCTTAGCTGTGGAGCCCAGCAAGTGTTTGAAGACATTAAGTTAGTGCTTAACCAAAAGCATACCTTCCTTCTGGATCCGTTTAGCCTGATTACTGCTGTCATTCGGGAGAGTACAGAGAAGCTCTGACATTTTTCCCATATACAAACTGATAGCGCCCCATGCAGGTAGCATAATTAGCAGCCTTAATCCCCATAGCTCCTGTGGTGTAAAACTTTCTTCCGAAAGCGTCCAGCTTCCTTCCTTCTCTGTCTGAAGGGGTAGAGTGGCTGCTCTTGCCTTAAGCAGAAGAGGTCATGACTAACAAATTCGGCTTCAGATGGGTGAAGAGGAATTCAGCTCCCGACTCCTAGATCTGGTACATGTGATCCAGTCTTTTATTGGAAACCGGGACGGAAGAAGGATGAGACCAGGGATCCTTGGCTGTTTTTAGGAGGACCGAGGTCATGGGGAGGGTGACTGATGCTGAGGTGTCCATCTGGATGATGTCGAAGACGGAGTCCGTGACAATCGGTGGCAGCTGGGTGGTGAGTGTGGACTCTCCTCGCCTGATTGGGAATCAGAAGAGCTGGAGCGGTCCAAAGGTTCAGAAAGCGATGTCTGGAGGATCGGCGTCGAAGGCAGTAGCTCTGTCGGTTCCAGGAATTGTTTCAGTGCCGACTGGAGGCTGAAACCTTTAGCGATCAGTCTCGATTACAGTGGTTTAACGAATTCTGATGCCGAGGAAGGGTCTCGGTGCCGGAAAATCCGTGAGGATGTGAATTAGCGATCCCACTTGACAGGGGAGCGTGGGGGAAGCCATGGCATCAATCTCGGGAAGGGATAAGCCCCATACAAATATTGCCATTGGTGCTGATCCCATGATGGGGGCTGGAGCGGCATCGGAGATCAAGATCGATTGTTGGGCCCAAAGGGTGGTGAGGGAACGATGAGATGGGTCCCTCGTTCCCAATGAAGGCTCTAAATACCGGGAGATCGCGATATATGAGTCAAATCCAGTTCCTGATAGGA